TTCAAGAGCTGTGGAGAATCCAGAATCTGTACCTCAAGTGCCATCAAACTCCTTGGGGGAAGATCATACTCACTCAGGTAACTTGACTCCCAATGATGGTCYTGACCTCCCTGTTGCTAATGATCTTGACCTTCCTATTGCCCACAGGAAAGGTGTTAGGTTGTGCACCACTAAACACCCCATTTCCAACTTTGTTTCCTATGAGAACATCCCACCTTCATTTCGTGCCTTCCTTACCTCCATTGACAGTATCCCTTTTCCCAAGAATGTGGCAGAAGCTCTCTCAGTACCAGAATGGACAAATGCCATGAAGGAAGAAATTGATGCCCTTCACAAGAATGGCACGTGGGAACTTGTTGATCTCCCTAAGGGAAAGGATCCAGTTGGATGTAAATGGGTGTTCACTGTTAAGCATGGGGCTGATGGAACCGTGGAGAGTTATAAAGCTCGTTTAGTGGCAAAGGGTTTTACTCAAGTATATGGAGTTGATTATGCAGAAACCTTTGCCCCTATTGCCAAAATGAATTCTATTAGAGTACTTTTCTCTCTTGCTGCCAATTTGAATTGGGATCTACATTAGCTCGACATCAAGAATGCTTTCTTGAATGGTGACCTTGAAGAGGAAGTTTATATGGTTCAACCCCCCGGTTTTCTGGCTCAAGGAAATGAACAGAAAGTGTGCAAGTTAAAGAAGCCTTTATATGGGCTGAAGCAATCACCAAGAGCTTGGTTCAGCAGATTTCATATTGCAGTTCAGCAGAGGAGATACAAGCAATGTCAATTAGATCACACACTGTTTGTAAAAAGGGGAGAAGGTAAAATGGCTGCCCTAATAGTATATGTGGATGACATAATTGTTACTGGTGACTGGAAGGATGAAATTCAAAGTTTGAAGGGCTTCCTTGCCACTYAGTTCGAAGTRAAAGATYTAGGACYYRCCAAATACTTCCTTGGAATTGAGGTTGCCCGATCAAAAAAGGGTATCTTCATCTCCCAAAGGAAATGCGTCCTAGACTTGCTTAAGGACATTGGAAAGATTGGGGTTAAGCCAGTTGACTCTCCCATTGACCCCAACCATAAGTTAAGTGACAGCCAAGGTGAAACTCTTAAGGATGTGAAGCAATTCCAGAGGCTTGTAGGGAGATTGTTGTACCTCTCTATGACTCGTCCAGACATAGCATATGCTGTTAGTGTCCTCAGCCAGTTCATGCATGCACCTAGGTCCACTCATCTTGAAGCAGCGGAGAGAATACTGCRGTATCTTAAGAAGTTCCCGGGTGCGGGCTTATTATTCCAGAAACATGGACATTTGAGAGTTGAAATTTACACAGATGCGGATTGGGCTGGATCTCAAAGT